CTGGAATTGCGTGAGACAAGGACAAAAAGTGTAGAATAATTTGTGAATTGGGATCTGTAAAAAAAATCTCCGAGGCAACCTCCTATCACTAAAGCAAATATTTTAAAGCGTCAAAATTAGGTCAAGGAATATATGAAAATTAACTTTTCTAAAGTAATTTTCACGCACGGATCTTGAGTGACATTTGAAGGACCTGAAGGGTTGGCCAAAGGTTGGATTTTATCTAATTCATATGTGCTTGAGGCTAAAAGAAAGCAACAAGGAGGTGGTAGTGTTATGATATGGGTTGGAATTGTCGACGAAGCCATTATTGGACTATTGAAAGTCGATGATGGAATTAAGCAGAACATTGTTAACTATTGTGATTTTATGAGCAAGACGATTTTTGCAAGGTAAAAGTCCCAGTCTCGCAGTTTCAAAGTGAAATGTGTATTTATGCACAACAATGAACCTTCTCATGTATCTAAGCTTACTCGTGAATTCTTTGAGTGTAAAAGATTTACAGAAGAGAAGATAAGGGAATGGCTACCATCAAGTCCTGATCTGAATCCAATCGAAAATCTATGGCCAGTTGTGAAGATGAAATTATATGAATGTGGCGAACAATATCACAACGAAGCAGACATATGGGAACTAATTAAAACTACCCTATTGGAAATTGAACCTGATGAAGTAAACATATTAACAAAATTAATGGATTAGTGACTGTATTTGTGATGAAGGGTCACTATATTCCAAAACTTATCATATGTGTTTATTTGTTCTATTATAGATGTTAATCAGTTTTTGATTATTTTATTACATTTTCTATTGAAGTAAAATGAGATTTGGTTTTACCTGATAACTTCAGATGGCAGTTTTTTTAGAATACTGTTTTATAATAATTTATCACTTCAATAAAACAATATTACCAAAAGAATTTAACTCAGTCTTTTATATGACATCTAAATTGATTGTCTAAAAGTTGGAAATTATTTTTCAAACCAAATTTAAATTTATTTGCTTAATAGCTTCAGAAAAAGTGTAAAATACTTCTCTATGTCAGACCAAACGACTGAGAAGCGCTTATTTAGCTGGTCTACTCACTAAGGTAAGATATGAAACAAGGTTCGTGTAGGATGCTGCTCTTCATGCATATGAGCCAAGAACAAAAAAAAAATGTCCTCGTGACCATTGTCACACTGGCGTTGATATTTCAACACTCTTAGTTGAACGAGAAAGTTGCTACTTGGGAATCCGCGATAAAGAGCGCGCTTTCTTTAATTGAGAACAGATACTATACTTGGTGTTTACTCGCCCTCCTCTACACGGTGACGAAATATGACACAAAGGCCAATTTAAACTGGGGTGTCTATGCGCGTGCACATGGGCTAAGACCAAACACTGCCAGACCCCCACAACCAAACATAGTCACTCAGGGAAGTGTTGCCACAAGGAGTGAGAACATTCTTTATTTGAATCTGTTTTTAGAGAGCATTGATCCCTGATACGGATTTTTTATTATTTCATTTTAAATAACATGCAAACATATATACGATGCTCACGCGGACTGCATTTTGAATTGGACGAACCCTTTTATATTGAGGCTTACAGCCACGTCAAGTTGAAACACTGTTTCTCCACCGTACGATCACCAAAGTTAAGCAACATTGAGCCTGGTTAGTTGCAAGATGGGTGACCGCTTAAAAATACTAAGTTCTGTAAGCTTGGATGTGCGGATCGTGTAATGGATAATAGCTCGGGATTGTTAATTATCTAAAAATAAATAAAACTGTGTACAAAATATTTTGATTTCTGTATTAAATAACCAATAGAGGTTGATAAGCGACTAATCAAAAACAACCAACCAAGATTCAGTTCAGTTATGTACCACGCGTAATACTCGCTAAGGTGATCATGTATCTTTCGATACATGACTGACGAGGCAGATTTTTTTTCTCGTAGTAGACGAGTTGCCATCCAAAGCTATAGAACCAGGTCTATTTGCCCATAGCTGGCGGGAGAAGAAGAGGATTCATACCTTTCCTAAGGGTATTAGCACGTAAGTGAAAGTAATGGATTCGATTGGAATTCGAACTCGACTCTCCGATTCCTCAATCTGAGCCGATATCCATTACTTCACCGTGCCTCCTCCGTGCAAGCTTTTATATCGTTTAATTCCTTGTGTTTTTGTTCATTTCCCGACAGTAAAATTACTTCTCCAGGTTTTTATCCATGTTTTCGACAAAGACGTTAAATTATGGTCATTCTCCATTATACAATCATATCGAAAAGTTGGTGATTTTTTTTATCGACGCTCACTTTACTTTATAAGTCCGATGCTTTGCAATAGCATTGCAAATTGTAATCTTGCTACAAACCGTTTTGGACTGGAATTTCACTCTTTGATTGCCCCACTCCATTATAATATTATTATTTAGGCTCTTTCGATGTCAGAAAATAATGATATCTATTCCTTTGTAACGTACAAAATCTGAACAACCTCACACTTTCAAACCTGTTAAAACTCTTGTGTTACAGTGTTTCCAACTTGAGGATGATTGCAATTTTAATATTGCAGTTTCTTTTTACATTACCTACAAGTGGATGATGCAATATCCTGCAATAATAGAGAAATGTTTATTTTTAGCCATGTGGTTTTAAACCTTTTACTATTGCTTGCTATTCTTCCCATGCAATATTTTGACTTCATTAACTAATGTTATTTCCTTAATTTAAACGAGGAAATTATGATATAAGATCATAATCATAGAGTACCTTATGCTGTAGTGGTTATCAAATCAAATTTTCGAATGTAGGTCCATTATTCATTAAATAGTCTACGAATCTGTGTTTGCATGAATAATGGTTCTGTTTAAATTAATATCAGCTGATTATAAGAAAATTTTATATTATTCTCCGTAAATCTCCGACATTACAGACGTGGATGCGATTGCTGATGGCATATTAATTTTAACAATTACGTAAATTTTCAAAAATAGAGATTAAGTAATAAACGACGTGTTTTCTAGAAATACTGAGACATTTTTTTTAGGAGAGGCCGTTATAACTGACCTAGATTATTGTAATTTTGCTATATCATTAATATAAATCGAATAAGCTGACCTGCAAACTTTTGTTATTCAAGATTGAAGGAGGCGGCTGTAACAGATCTTTGGACACACCCTACTAAACACTGCTTGTCACAGCTGTCTACTTTGCAGAATACAATCGGGACATGAAGAATATTTGGATGATCTCTGTGGAATTAATTTTTGTGTTAAGCTTGGCGAAACGCTTCAGAAACTTATGGAATTTTCCAGACTCTTATCTAATAAGTTGTATAAGTCTATCATCTGTGTTTCGCTGCCACAAAAAGTTCAAGGACGGTAGAAAGATGAGAGACGTTGAGAAATGTGGGAGGTAGAGGGGGCGTCAGAGCTGGTTAAGTAAATTCGTAAAGTTCTGGACAAAGATCACCGTATGTTTATAAAGACAGGTTTTCGAGTGGCAACTGTACAGAGACTTATTCATAAAGTTCAGAACATGCGCAAGATTTGTGCCAAGTTTCTTCCCAGCGTGCTCAGTGACGAAGTAAAGAGACGTTGGTGACAGGGATAGGCAGCAAAACTGTCTCTCCGGCTCTCTAGAGTCCCGGCCTTGCTCCCTCTGACGTTTCATATCAAATTGCCATAGAATCTGTCATTTCTGCAACTCTCAAACCGATAAAACCTTTATCAGAATGCTGGCTGTTCTTAGCAACGGTGCTTTTTGTAGTATCAAAGTTCGAATATCAGTCAAAATTATACCCACCTGTTTTAGATTTTGTCTGTCTCTGGTCTAAGAAGAGTTACATCAACAGGAATAATTACTTTCTTAAGAGCGCACAGGGCGCTATCTCGTGTTTCAAATCATTATACCTTTTCTCTTCCTTACAATTACATCCCCTGGTACTGCTATACAAAGACTAATACTGTTTGAATTCCTTCTGGACAATAATGGTGTCGGACATTAATTACATTATTATACTGTAATATTATCATAATATCCGAGCTAACATTACACTACAACTACTATTACTAATAATAATTTGCATTGTATTTATTACAGTGTCACTGAATCATTATCTGAAACTTACGGCAAGGGAATATGGTAAATATACACAATGTTTATATTTTATTTACATTGATAACACTCACCTGACAACCCTGAGCCGGCTCATTACCTCGATGAGTGACTATTGGGATATACCATGTGTTGTAAGCTTGAATGTGCGGATGGTGTAATGGGTAAAGACTCGGAATTGCAAATCGGAGAGTCGAGATCCAATTCTAGTCGGCTTCGTTATAATTACTTACGTGAAATTTAGCAACAGAGAGAAAGCATTTCGAATATAGTCAGTAATCATCAGTGCTTTCTTTAATATCTTCCTTTACTCACACCTGGATTTGACTGATTTGTTTTTTACGGCTTATCAACCCTTTGTGAGTTTTATAAAACAGAAATATTTTTGGATTATAAAAAAAATAATTTTTGAGAATATTGCAATAACAATTTTTGAAGAATAACTACGATTTTTCTAGATACAATTGTTACTGTTTAACCCACATGTGTGGGGAGGCAATGGATTCATACCTTTCCCAATGGCATTTTCACCTAAGTTAATATAACAAATCCGACGGGAATTCGAAATCGGTTCTCCGATTTCTTATTCAGAGCCACTATATATTACACCACCCGCATATCTAATTGATAAGCAATGGTACTATACAGGATTCTCACATTCTTTTGTAGATTTTTTAAAGCCAGAAATATTTCAGATTATAAACAGTTGTTGGAGATAATGATTTAAACTGATAAAAGTCCTACTAATTAACCCATAGCTCGGGGGAGAAGAAGCAGATTCATACATTTTCCAGAAGTATTTGCGCGTAAATGTAACAAACCCGACTGGTAATGGAAGTCGGCTCTGCTAATTCCAATTACGAGCCGTTATCCATTACACCACTCGCACTTACAAGCTTACAGCACCTGGAATTTCCAAGCTGTCACCTATCTAGGTATTGGCCAAGCCCAACGTTGCTTAAGTTCGGTAATCTTACTGGAACAGGTGTTTCAACGTGATATAGTCGTAATTCTCTTGGATGTGAGCCCATCCCTTGGAATTGATGTCCGTTGTATTTATTTGTTATATTTCTCTTTAATAGGTGAGTAGTGTCAAGGAGGACGATCTTCTAGACTTCTTTTTATCTTGAATTTACCGAGGATTGTGTAGATGTATTTGTCTACCCCTTACTTCACCAGGCCAAGAGAACCTATTACCGCTGGTATTGTTGTGGTCTTTACTCGCCACGATCTTTCAATTTCTATTTGTAGATTTTAAATTGAGGTTTTCTATTGCTTTCAGAAAGGTTTTACTTCTGTAACGCTGGTGTACTAATGTATAACGCCGAATATACCCATCATAGCATCAGTCGTACATGATTATTCCAAGCACATGCATCACAGCTAAATTTGCGCGATAGGTCACAGTGTTTGATAAAAGGAGCTTATAATTTTGCAGGTTGGGCACAGTCAGAAATACGCCCAGGTCGAGTAACCCTCTCTACGCAGACGATCTCCGATTTAGACTGTTCCCAAGAATGTAGATGTGATACTAATGTCGCTTAAACTGACTCATTATTCGGACTGTAAATACTCCTTCAACTAGCGGTTCTTATCATTACCCAATTCCCATTCATGAATAGTAGGTCAACTTCTAGGAGTTATGCCTGGCTGGTTATGTTCAGTCAAACAAATCTTTATGCCAGCAAGGGATATTAACTCTAACCCATCTTAATTCACAAATACAAAATATTGACTCCTCCAATCGATTAAGATCAAAAATTATGAAAGCCATGCTTTGGGAATTATTACCACTAATAGTTTACCTGTGTCGTAAAAAAATGACGGAAATTGTTTGAAAATCTGAAGAGACGTCCAAAAGAAGAAAACTTTTTGAACATGAAAGCCTTGTTTGCGAATTGTTTGTGGTGGTCAAAGGTCACCATTCCATGGTATTCACTTCAGCTGACCCCGCCCTCTGCGGTATAACAGGTTTTAATAGTGAAATGCAATGAAACAAACGTCTTAAAACACTGTATTGAGATTCAATAACGCGGAGATAAAGAATTCACAACTAATATAGAGGCCAATGGACCACTGAATTAATCCGTTCCCATTATACTTTTTAGACGTTCAATGGTATCTATAATTCATCGATTACTATTGGTATGATATAAACCGCTTTTTACTCAATATATTTTCATGTTAAAACTGTGTATGTGTTTAATATAACAGTGAAATTGAAATATCCCTCGGATGAAAAACGATTCGCAACAGAACGACAAAGACGGAATCGACAAAGTCTGTTTAAAGACCAAATTGAAGCAAGACTATCACCTAACAGACAAAGGTATCTGAGTGTCTCACATGAAATGCTTGAACAAATAAGACTGCAATCTACGAAACGATTAATTAAACGGTTTATTTTGCTCGGTGACTAATTTTGTCTAAATGCAGATAAATATTTTATTTATATAGATTAAGAAAACGACTAAGAGAATTAATAGCTCATAAATTTAATAACTTATATTCATTTATCTCCCTTCCCACTACAAGATGACTGGAAATATATAAATACACATTGATAATTATTATATGGCTTTTTTATTATTATTATTATTATTATTATTATTATTATTATTATTATTATTATTCCATGCATTTTTATTTTCTAGCATGATGTCAAGAGATTAAGGATGAAGTTTACTGAAAGCATGGAAGCAAATCTCCCGTAATCTTGAGGACCTTTCTCTGTATCCTTGCTGGCCCCTTTTTATTTTTTTAAGTTTCATTTTATTTTTTTTTTTTGCTAGGCCCATTGAGATTGTTCCGTGCGCTCTAACACCGATGAGCTCAACTGTCATTTTCAGTTTCCATGTTTTATTTCTTGTGCAAAGCTGAGATATCGCTCCATATTTTCACCTTCAGTCAATATTATGGAGCCGTCTCTTGGAACCGCAAAATCCAACATCTGACAAAATTTCGTCTTGTTTACGATAATTAGATCAAGGTAATATCTCCAACTAAACTAATAACAGTAATTAATCTTAATTGCAGAATTCATTATCATTATTATTGCTGCTGCTGTTGTTGTTGTTGTTGTTGTTGTTTTTAACAGTAGCAGATTATTAAACGGGAGTTGAAAAGGAAAAGATGAAAATGGTATATATTATTTTAAAAAGATCTGGAAAAGTAATGAAGAAAAATAATGCTGTACGATGTATTTTATTTTAAAAAGAGTTTTAAAAAATTTTGAGTGAATGAATGCGGTATGCTTTATTTAAAATAAGTTTTAAAAGATGGAGGAAACTGATGTTTGTATATTTTTGCCTGCTGCTGCTGCTAATGATAATGATTAATAACGATTCAGCTTTTATCATTATCACTACGAGTTTATTATTTTATTAGGCTGAAATAACCAGGATCTATGGTAGAAAATAAGGAGAGTAAAATAATTGAAGACTTCGAGATTCCGATTAGCCAATTTCCTCAATCTTGATTGTTATGATTAAAACACAATCTCCAAATCATTAACCACAGATTGAAAAAAACAACCAAACCGGTTTGATAGAAAAATAGCAGCAAATTGACGCCAGAAAATATGAGATAGTCTAAACTGAATTTTATAACCAATAAGGAACCTTTTTTCTAAGAGAAGTTTATCTGTAGTGGACTCGCTTGCTTGTCTTGATATTGTTCAAAAGCGTCTACACATCCCTGTGGGTGACGAATTGGTCTTCGTCTCACAACCTTTTTCCAGCAGATGAAACGTTGTGAGGCTCCCGGTGCTCGAACCCTATTCCCATGGCATGGGTTCTAACGAACTACATTCGTTGGTCCCACCAGCTCTGACCTTTATAAATGGTCATGCCACATACACAAGTGCGAATCATCCTCATTCCCTTCCTATCCCACTCGGACAGGTTCTTCACAAGAACTGTTGTGGAACACACTCCTGGCAGTATGTTTTCCCAATTACTACAACATTTACCGCTTCAAGTTCAATGTTAACATCTCTCTCAGTCTGTTTCTTTCTTTCTATCTATCTATCTATCTATCTATCTATCTATCTATCTATCTATCATAGTCTGTTTCCCCGAACAAAATTCTTTAGTCCCACCACCCCTGTCCTTTATAACTGAGACCCCACCATGCTGCGTACACAAGTGTGTGTCATCCCCATTCCTTAGTATCTCTTAGTCGAAGTAAGTTAAGCGCGGACAGCTTCTTCCTAAGATCTGCTACCTTTAGAGACAGACTCCCGGCAGCATGTTTTTCTTGGCCTATTCCAGTCTAGTGGTAACTGTTACTTTTCCTGCATAATCCTATGGATTTCATTTCTTAACTCTTCTTATACAACACTACACAGTAATTACTACCTTGAGTTACTCTTGAGTCTGGTATTTACTCAACGTTAGTATTAAAATGACATGAAGGTATAGAAAAATCTCTTATATCCTCGGGAGAAGAAGAATCGACGTTTGAAGAAAACTCTCACAGCCACACACCCACGCGCCGATATTAATTGACGAAGCCAGGTTGTTAAATAAACAATAATTTTATGTATGTTTGATTCGTGTTCTTATTTATCTGTACAACAATAACATTTCATTATATACTATATTTTCCAGAAAATAGTTTACGTTTTTTTTTTCTCGTTTTTGTTTTTCGGGGGGCTCAGTTCAGGCTGTGCAAGTTACAATGGAATTAGATTCCACTCATAAGTGTGTCGGTTTTTGTAGGTAATTTATGAATATCGTTTATCAGAAATGGCTGATATTTATCTACTTAATATATCAATCATTATATACTAGAAGCTGGGGCTTATGGTCGAAATACCAGTTCCCTTAAAATCAGCGAAAAGTACCATCGAGTCAGGCCTGTTACATAGAGGAGTGACCGCTTGGGAATACCAGGTGATATAAGCTCGGATGTACGGGTGGGTGTAATTGATAATGGCTCGGATTTGTTAATCGGAGAGCCGAGTTCCAGTTCATATTGATTTCGTTGTTTTCCCTTACGCGTAAAAACCCTTGAGGAAGGTATTAATCCACCTATTCCCGCCCCACTAGCTATGAGTTAATAAGTAAGACATTATAAGTAACCATTATTATCACCAAAAAAAAATCTTACAATATAATAATATGTCCTGGCTTCAAATGATATGCAAAGGGTTGATAAGAAGTGGGAAACAGATCAATCAATCATGTAGTAGTGGGTGTTATGGTGGGACCATTCTTCGCTGGGCCGCCGAAATTTAATGATTTTACGCTTGGCCTGGTGAGGCTATTTGGAGGTTTTAAAATTCAAAATTCACTGATTACCACGCCAGTCTACTGACCCTGTCTGCCCTGCTATTTTACCGATAACCGTTGGGAGAATACGTGGATTCAAACCTTTACCCAAGGTTATTTGCATGAAAGTGAATGCAACGAACTCGACTGGAATTCGAACTCGGCTCCCTCTATTCCACAATTCGAGTCGCTATCCAACCCATACGAATTATAATAATTAATGAAACAAAGAAAATTGAAACAATGAAAATGTGTACACATATCATCTAGAAGTTACAAAAACTTTTTCATTGACACTAATGATTGTAGCAGTAACAATAATAATAATAATAATAATAATAATCGACTTAGCATATGTTCATACCAATCTTCTTAATATAAATCTCTATGAAAAAATAAATAGAAATAAAATACAGTAATATTTCGAATTAGCAAATTACAACTTGAAAGTGAATATCAACGCATTTCTTTCACTCACTTACTGAATTTATATAATATTGCATCTAAATGATTTATGGATCGGGAGTGAGCTGGTCGGTTGGTCGGTTGGTCGGCTGGTCGGTGACTGCCGCTGAGAGGTCGACCGTGAAGAATTGAAATGGAAATGTGTTGCTTGCTGACGTCTGTGTTCGATCCATTCATCTCCGCCGTTTGCATCTGTAAATGGACGACACTCTGAAAAGACTGGCATTGATTTGAAAGCTGAATATTTAGTGAAAAGATTAACTGAGACTAT